CATTGGCAAAGACTATTAAGCACACCAAATGTGCAAACGCATCTGTTTTAGAAAGATGACCAGCATGCTCCTTATAATCCAGGACGACAAGACTTCATTTCAAGTATTTTGTATCTGTCAGTCCCTGAAGAGGCATCTCACCAATGAGAGGGATGGACACGGTGGCTGCCACAATGGTGTCTGGGATTGAATTGTGCCCCTCCCCCCCTCCCCCCAGCTCAAAAAGATGTGTTGGAAATCTTAACCTCTAGGCCTGTGATTATAATCCCATGTGGGAATGAGTTATCTTTGTCCTATGAATGAGACACCACTGGGGGCATCAAAAAAGATGAAGGCGGTCAACAAGATGGATGGACACAGTGGCCGCAACAATGGGCTCAAACCAAAGAGCCCTTGCGTGGATGGTGCGGACCCCTGGGCAGCATTTCACTCGGTTGTGGATCAGGCACTGTGAGTCAGAACTGGCTTGATGGCACCTGACAACACCCAAATTAACCTACAGCGTGTTTGAGTCTGTCTCTTACAAGCTATCGCAGGAGCAGAAGCAACAAGTGGAGAAGGGAAGATGGGCGTCAACCACAAGGAGATCTGCAAGGAGCCAGGAAACAAGCTGAAGAGACAAGGACCTGCTTCCACAGTCAACAGAGAGTGACAATGCCCCACCCTGGACCCCCACTTCTGGCCCCCTAAACTGTGAGAAAATAAAGTTCTGTTTGTGAAAGCTACCCACTTCTGGCATTTGAGTCATCGCAGCACTAGAACCCAATCACACCTGGGCTCAAACAGAGCACGTGTTTTGAGGATGGTGCAGGACTCGACAGTGTTTCACTGTGTGGACATAGGGGTGCTATTAGTCAGGTCTGAAATGTTTGGATGACAAACATTTAGTGTTCAACCTCACCCAGGGGTCGTGTGCTTTTCCACATCATCAGATTATTATAACAACACTTTGCGGTTCTGTGAAACCTTAATGTCCGAGTGTTTTGGGCTCTGTTGTCTAATTTTTCTTCACAATAGTCATCCCTCACCCTCTCAGTGGCAGGAATCATTTTGCAAAGAGCACAGAGGTTGGCTTGCTAGTCCAAGTCCACAGGGAAAATCAGGAAAATGGAAGCTGGTGCTAGAACTCCAGTTCTGCCCAGACTCCGTCCTATTGACCAATTCTGATGGTTGTCAGGAGAGGTGTGTTGGAACCCAGGTTCTCACAGCAGAGTCTCCTCACCCCCATGGACTCAGAAAAGCTGTCTGCTCATGGGGTAGAACTAGGAATTCAGCAGTTCATCAGAGTCAAGGACAAACTTAACAGCAGCAAAGAGTAAAGACCAAATATTCATTTGGCAAGTTGAGTTTTATTTATAAATTGGATTTAAAAAAAAATTTGGCCCAGATAGCGTGTTCTGGAACTGCATTTCAGGGCCATGCAGAGAGCAGCTGTGACTAGTTTGCTGGCTGGGGGTGGGGATATTGTCTTCTAGTGAGGTAGAAACCCCAAAGTTAAAAGCAATATTAAACAGCTTAAACACATTTTTATGTGCTTTGAAAGATGTTAAGAGCCCTGGTGGCAGAGCGAGTCACTCACTGGGCTGCTAACCGTGAGGTCTGTAGTTACCGGCCACTCCACAGGACACAGAGGAAGCTTTCTGCTCCCTTAAAGCGTCACAGCCTTGGCCATGCCCACAGCCAGTTCTGCTCACTCCCGAAGCCCTGTCTTATGGTCGAAATCCACTTGATGGCAGTGAGAGTTTGAGTTTAAAGAATGCTAGACTGGTTACAAACCCACTGCTGTCATACAGATTCTTGACCCTCCAGGATAGCATCGAACTGCCCCATAGTGTTGCCAAGGTTGAAGAGGACTACC